CTCAATTTTGAGGTAATTGCAAGATCTGGTTGTTTCAGCCTTGAAGTTTCTTAAGACGACTTTATTAGGGAAGGTTCGCAACCTGGAATATGCTAGGAAAAGATAACAGAGAAAAGTAAAGGTGATATTTAGAGCTTAAGGAAAGGAAACTATAGTTAAAAATGTCCCAGCTCAGTAAAACGATTTTAGTATTCATAAAATTTCATCTTATTTATAAATTTCTATTATATAAATACAGAAATATAGCTACAATGTAAAATAATAAAGTGGTTATCAGATTTGATCTCCCTCGGTACTTTCCTAGGTAAAAAAGGATAAACAAACTATTTTTTTCGTCAATTTCTTTTGGAATATCATCAACCCAGGACTTAAAATTTAAAGATAGATTAACTACCAATTAAGGACATAGAAAAGAAAGCAAAATGCAGAACCACACAGACACTGGTGAATTCCGAAAAGAAGCATCATAGACGCATCTGTGGCTGTCCTCTACCTTACAGCATTGAGCAATCATCATAATATAATTGTATCAAAGGTCCAGTTTCATAAAATTCGAACCAATACTTTTTGTGCATACACAACATGAAATGACATATTATGGCTTGACTTTCTTGTATGTACCTTCAGCAACAATGGCTTCATAAGCAGGAGGTTGAGACTGCCAGTTTCCTGCAGCATCTTTCATGTGACTTCTATCAGATGCAAATGACTTGAGAAAAATTGGTGCATGCACAATCCGGAAATACCTGAAATGGGGGTGGGGGATTAATAAAGGCATGCGCATCAACTATACAAACAAAGCTTCAGTAATATATGCCCGTATAATCTGTTTTTTCAGGATATAGTATCTGTTACCTTTTAAACTCTGAAAATAATGGAAAGGAAGGACGAGTTGTTTCAGCAATATAGGATGCTAGGGGAGAAGGAAACGGAAGGGTGGAATCTAAATCCCACACTAGGTCGGATGAACTTTCATCTTTCCTTTTCTGAAAAAGAAGAAAATTTTAATGAATTCGAAATTGGTAATACAATTAGCTTATAAAGTAGGTTTAATATCTGACCCTTTTGAGCAGAGATATGAACACATGGAAAGCCAAATTCTCACCTGTATGCATATAACATGATAGTCCCACAGAACAACACCATCTGCCCTATGGCTGGCCTTTTGATTCCACAATGGGACCTGAAGGATATCATGGAAATTAGCATAGTTGCATTTCATACATATACCGTCAATTATATGTTTACAAGTACACTTTCTTATTATGTAGTAACCAACTATCAATCTCGTTACACTAATCTTATGCCAAATAGGGTAGCCTCTCGGGTAGAAATTCAAGAATAACATTTTGAGAAGAAAATATTCCACTTTTAGTCGTAGGACTATAAAGTCATACTCCGTATCACATTTTTAAGAAAATTGTTCAAAATAAGACTAAAACGTTGACAAAATTTTAAAATAGGGCTAAGTGTGTTTTCGTCCCAAAATAGGACTTATTTACTCCTATTAAACGAATAAATAATAGAAAATTCCCAAAATAGGAGTGAATGAGTCCTATTTAGAAAAAAAAAACAATGGCACTCCTATTCGAAGAATTATATTATTTTTTACTCCTATTTAGGGAATTCTCTCGTCTTCTATCAATTATCCAATGATAAAGAAATTGTTTGAAAAAGTGGTATGAAGCAGTGGAAGACCTATATTGGTTTCAAAGTGTTCACATGTGGACACCCAAAAGTTGAAAATAGAAGTAAACAATGTGTAGAATTGATGTAATAATTTTTGTATAATATTTCTTGACTTTAACTTCATTTACTAGTTTTATTGTTGTTGAAAAGACATATTGTAGACAATAAATTTGTTCAATTTTTTAATAGCAAAATTATTCTAATCTGAACACACAAAACTCGGATGTTAAATCTGCCACTGGTTTGAAGGACCAAAAGTGGAGTGAGTACTTGTGAAAACTGTTAAAAGTTAATTTGGTATCACAAGAACATGATTATCAATCCCTAGCAGTAAGCCATTTTACTTTTCCAATAACTCAGCAAAAAGTGAAAAACTAATGAATCGTATACTAGACTTAACCTAAACAAATCAAGACAGTGAAAATTAAGAACAAAAAGTGGAATGCCTGCTTTTTATCATTGCAGATGAACACAGCAAACAAATCAGAAGCATCTGGATTGGCCAAGCCATCAGCGCACAGCTTCTTGCATAGCTGGTATACATTTTCCTCACTACAATGAAATGTGAAATCAACATGAGCAAGAATTTAAAAGGCCAGCATTGAGCTATAAGGACATTCAATGTCAAATAACATCAAAAATCGATTTTGTGCTGAGGCCAATTTCAGAATAATCGGTAACCAAAATGATCAAGGGTTTTCAAGTAAGCACACAAGCGAAAACCACCGGCGATCGTAGACACTGGAGTAAATACAAAGGAAAAACAAAACCACAAAACTAAGGCATTTCCACCAAAATGAATGTTTCATTTCATACCAGTAAAAAGGGGTGTGTTGGAAGGAAGAGAGTTCCAAGTTCGTGGTTGTAGTCATCTTCCCTATTCTTCCCTTTTCACTTGCCGGCGGAATTAGAAGTTATAGAAATTTTTAAGAAGTCACATGTTTCACGTGTGATATTTTTTAAATTTTACTCTCTCACGCTGGAAAATTTGCCCGGTTTGACTTGGATCAGAATGTAAGAAAATGAGAATAAAGTAGAAATGTGTGATTTTGGTTGAGTAAGAAAAATGTAAATAAATTGTAGCGACACAAACCTTTCCAAAAAGGGAAATGAAAAAAATATTTTGGGACATCCCATAAAGATAAGTGAGAAGAATTTTTTGAAACGGAGGTAGTAATAAAGACGTTGGTATTTAGGATGTTTTCAGTCCCAAACCAGACCAGACCAGATCAGACTTCTGTAGTTATAAGGATGTTTTCTTTTGGACTGTTTTCATTCTCAGACCAGACCTGACCAGACTTGACTTCCGTAGTTATAAAATACACAGAGACTAGACGTTTACCAGACTAGACCAGCTAGACCAGTTCAGACCAGACCAGACCAGACCAAACCAGCAAATTTCAGTCCAAAAGAAAACATCCTAAAATACACAGAGACTAGACGTTTACCAGATCAGACCAGACCAACAAATTTCAGTAAAAAAAAACATCCTTAGCTGTAATTTATACTATAAGTAGTATATCGTTGACTTTTTTTGTATAGAAATAAAAATTACTACCTCCGTCCCAGGGACAAGTTCCCACTTTCCTTTTTTGGCAGTCCCAACAAGAAGTTCCCATTTCCCTAAATGGAAAGTTATCTTACATCAAAACAGTGCAAAACAGTGCCAAACAGTGTCGAAACAGTGCAAAACAATGTCGAAACAGTGCCAAACAGTAAAATTTACCCCTTAGTAACTTTATTTCCTTAATATGTGTGAAAGTCAACCCGGGAACTTCTCCCTGGGACGGAGGGAGTATATACATACAATTATATTTGTAGATTATTTCATGATAGTTCAATTCATTGATTATTAGTAAACCGTTGCTAATAATTGTTCAGTACAAAGCAAACGAAAACATTAATGTCAAATAAGACTTCGATGAAACATTAAGAATATTAAGATTGATAAACCTACATTGCATTTTCAATCACAAATAAAAGAACAAATCACAAAAAAAATTGGATTTTCAGTTTGAGTTAGGGGTTAATGTTTTTAAAAATGATTGTAATTCTGAATTGTTTTATTAGTAATACCCTTTTTCCTCGCAAAAAAGAAATATTGTTCAACAAATTTGAGATCTTAGCTACATTTCGAAGTAATTCAACTAAATAATAAGTGCAGATAAATACAACAATCAATTTTTCACTAAAAGAATAAATTTCAGATCCATGCATGGTTGGAATCAGATGAATATGAGATCCAGATCTTAGATAAATTTGAGATATGGCGTAGTGTATACTTGTTGAGTTATCTCGTTCATGATTTATTCATGTCGTCTTAATTGCCTAGATCAGCTTGGTCTTTTTTTAGATTCAATTACTACTAGAACTAATAGAAACGTGAGGATTTGCTCCCAAAAAAAGTTTATTCATATAAAAGTAAACAATGACACATTATATACTTCGATATCAAACATACAACCTTCAAACATCAAAGAGTAGTGCCTGTTAAACATAATTCTAGCTTACACAAAAAAATACGGCTGGCCCAGGGGGTGTGCAGGGTGTCCGACCGCACAGGACCCAAAAATATGGAAGACCCAAAAAAATAAATTAGTAGTAGTATTACTACTAGTCTACTACTCCGTATAAGCTAGTCAGCCCAATAGCGAACAAAAAGGTGCGGGACGAGCATAGCAATCTGCGAAAGAGGAAGCGCATAGGCCAAAGGACATAACGAGTGACTGAGCGAGACGAGCGACGTGCGGACGACTCTCCGTCTCCAGGCTCTGCTCCAGCCTCGAGCCATCCTGATTTCTAAGTTGCTGTGGCGATTCGGACACATCTAGGACGGAAGGACTCCACTATTCTAGGTATATAAATTCGTAACTAATAGATAGTAATGGTTCTTTATGAATTAATTTTGTAATCTGAGTTCAACAAAATGATATTAATAGGTTCTTAGGCTGTTAAATTTGTTTTTGTTTCACTATATAACTTTATACATAAATAAATTTTTTTCTTGGATTTATTACTGCTAGTTAATACTAGCAACTTCTATTTTGAAATATTTTTTTAAAAAATTACAACTACTCCGTATTAATAATTTACCATTTCAATTGAAATAGCATTTCTATTAATGATAGAAAAGAAAGGCCTGATTTTTGTTGTTGCACATGGCCCTCGTTTTCTCCGGACCGGCCCTGCTCCGTATAATTTAGATCCAAAACGATCATTTTATGTGCGTACCCAAAAAAATATTATTAGGAAAGGATGAATTTACATTAAAATTCTATTCATACATTAAACAACATTTGTGAAATATATGCATTCAATGTTCGTTAAAGCAGACTTTCAATGTCGGTTCATTACAGTAGTTTATTTATTCTTAAAAAGACTAATACTCCCTCTGTCCCTAAAAGAAGTTCCATTTCGCTTATCGAGGGTCAACTTAAATCACTCTTAAACTCTTACTTTTTATATCAAAATTTTATAAAAGTTAAATTATTTTTTGCAGGCTTTGCAGCGGATTTAATGTAGTTTATGAATATGTAAATTTTATTTACTAAAAAAAATCCGAGTTTTCACAGGGATCATTTAACTTTATCGTCAGTCAACCTTCGTAATCCGCAATTGAAACAACATTTAGGGACAGAGGGAGTAATAAGTAATTACTACGTGGAGTATTACGTAGAAGTAAAGATGAAACTTTTATTTATTTAACATATATAAATTCAGTATTATTACCAAACATCTTATGGGTCGATGACATCATTGTTGTGATACTTCCAACGAGATCACATCTTCAAAATCCACCCTCACATGTATTAAGGAGTACTACCTACTCCGTATTATTTAGTAATTCCGTATTAGAGGTCGAGTCGATATCTTCATGCGATATATATGTCCGTACGTATTAGATTAAATGGATCGGCACTGGTCACAATCAAACGCACATAGACAAAATTGCCTGCATCTTGGTGTACACCTACTCCCCTGTGCCTGCAGCCATCTCCTACTGAGCACACGGCGGCCTCTGCCGCCGCTGCTTGATGCCGCTGTCGCAGGCGGTGTTTTAACAGCGGCCGTAGAAACCGTCGTCGATGCTTCGCTTCCCAAGATGGCCGCCGAACCATTGCCGCCGGTGCAAAGCACCAAAAGGAGCAGCAAGATCATGACCCCCACGGCCATTTTGGAAGACATCGCTGCCTTTTCCCCTGCCATGCTATGGCGGCGTTGCGCTACTGAGCTGAAGTGTAGTGTTTTCTGTGGGTACAACGTTCAGCACCTATTTATAGAGAGGAGTATGGGTTTTGATTCAGAGTTCACCAATTTTTAGTTTGATTCTATTCGGTTTCTATTCAAATATTCAATACGATTTAATGAACTATTGTCAAAACGTAGTAAGGATTTTCTATTCAAATATTCAATACGATTTAATGAACTATTGTCAAAACGTAGTAAGGATGTTTTCTTTTGGACTGAAATTTGCTGGTCTGGTCTGGTCTGGTCTGTTTAAGTCTGGTCTGATCTGGTCTGTTTAAGTATGGTCTGAACTGGTCTGGTCTGGTAAACGTCTGGTCTCTGTGTATTTTATAACTACGGAAGTCTGGTCTGGTCTGTTTAAGTCTGGTCTGGTCTGGTCTGTTTAAGTCTGGTCTGGTCTGGTCTGGTTTGGTCTGGTCTGTTTAAGTCTGGTCTAGTCTGGGACTGAAAATAGTCCAAAAGAAAACATCCTAAAACATACAAGGACTATGTTTCGATTTGACCTGACTCGATTTAATTTGATTTTATTCATTTTGCATTTGTTATTTCATTGAGGTTTATAATTCAATTTAATTTTATTTGGGTTTTCACGGTTTTGATTTGTTCAATTCGGTAGAGTTTGAGAGAAATACTAATGGCATGTTTACTAGCAGAAATAATTTTCAGTTTTAAAAATGGAAAACTAAAAAATGAAAATAGAAAATTGTAGATACAAGAACTAAAAAATGAAAATAGAAAATTGGAGAACGAAAATCAGAAAAAAACAACTGAAAAATATATTTGTTAGTAAATAAACTCTTACTAATTTTGTTCCAATACATGCAATTCTTAGTAATATTTCTATGTTCTTAAGTCATTGTGTTGTTCATATCTACTACTAGAAGTTTTTTTCCGAAATAGATGTACTTTTGAAACTTATTTTTCAAAAGGGGATACTTTTAAACTTATTTCCTAAAAGATGGTGTTGTCTTGTCATCCCATTATCACTACAATAATGCTACAATTACCGACTATTCCACATATTTGGTTAGAGCTAGGCATATCGGTTTTTGGTTCGGTTTTTATCGATTTAGATTCGGTTTGGAACGAATTGGAAGAATTATTACCAAACAAATATCATACTATATTTCGGTTCGGTTCGTTTTGGTTTGGATTTGTTAATTTTAAATAATATATAATTTTTTTTTTTGAATTTCTTTAGTTCAATTCGGTTTTGTTCGGTTTTTATCGGTTTTGGTTCGGTTCGGTTTAATACGGTTTGGAAGAAATAGTACCAAACTCAAACCAAATTGCATACGGTCCGGTTTCGGTTCAGTTTGGTACAATTCGGTTCGGATAAACCAAACCATTATGCCCACCCTATATTTGGTAATGGTGGAATTGAACATCTTACCCCCAAGTTCAATTGGCATGGTCTTTAAACGTAAGGTGTGGACCACTAGGCTTCAATTACAAGCTTTGCTTTTTCTTTTTTGGGAAAAGGGGCAAACAAGCCCTAGAACTAACCAAGAACGTGCAAATCACCCTTTATAGAGAAGATTTTGTCCAGGCGTCGTCATTTGAGGAGGTTTCCGGTGGAATTTGTTTATGAAATTGTTTGAGTATCTTCTTCCTTAATTCTAGTTTACTCATACTAAATTTCAGATAAAAATTCAATCAGAAAAGGCAGTCAAATGAATTTTTGAAGATAACTCTGCAGTTAAACAACGCAGTATATTTCATAAAATCATTTGACTGCCTTCCCGATTTTAGTTTTAGCTGAAACTTGGTATGGATAAACTAGACTTAATGAAGAAGATGCTCCAAAAATTGCATCAAAATATTCCACCAGGAACCGCCTCAAATGACGACGGCCGGACAGAACCTCCTATATAAGGGGTGATTTACATTTTTTTTTGATTAGTTCACGGGTTTATCCCCTTTATGGCTTTATGTATTTGAATCCAATCGTATCAAGTTCAGGATTGAGCAAGCAAGATTGTTCTTGGCACTAAGATTTTTTATCTTATACGCCGTATAAATTAATTAAGAATTTTTACTTATATTAATCTTTTTGAAAAGAATTCGTCTATGTTGATATCATTCAAATCAGAATTGTTACATCAACCCCAAAGTGATCAATACTGAATACGATGTTCATCTTCCAATTATTGACTTTATGATTAGACACATAACAATCACATCTGAAAGAGAAACATGAATCAGTAAGCACCAGACAAGCTTGATGCAATTATCGCTGAACAAACAGGCATGTCCCCCTCAAACTATATCAAATCTAGTTGAAACCCGAGTCATCGAAATTAACCTAGCAGGCTAGCACCAGGGGAGGATCTATGTATAGGCTATGGTGGGCTGAAGCCCAGAACAGGTTAAAAAAAATTCAATATTTTTAGTGTAATTTTTTTAAAAAATCATATTTAGGCTACCCCGCTAATTTTTAAGTCTAGTATATTTACTTTTCAGCCCAGGACATCCCGAAATCTTGGATCCGCCCCTGGCTATCACCATGAATTATAACAAAAAACAAAACAATAACAACGGAGTTCATAATTAACAAACTAAAAATGAGTAAACGAAATTAAACAGGATAAATTGATGGGGCAACTGAATACATCCTTCAAGCGTCATCGTGTTCTCATTCTTAGTCTCACAGTTCCTTCATGGGGACGGTTCGGGAGGAATGGAGGCAGATATTCACCACTTCATCTTCTTCCTTCATCGCATGTGGTGATTGCGCTATTATCCCAATGATAATGGGACATTTGGAAAATAAAATTATAAGTAACCCCTTTTGAGAAATAAGTTTGAATAACATCTCTACTTAGAAATAAAAAAACTCCTATTACTAGCCTACTAGCAAGTACTAATGTACTATATATCGTATAAAAAATCCAACACAAGAAAATCAATATCAAATATATATTTAGAGTTTTCTTAATTAAAACCCATCACGTACTGCCTCATTCCAAACCATAGTACGTGGGACAAAGGTGGCAATTAATACTGTAATACGGAGTAGTATTTATCTTTCACTAGTATCGCACCCGTGCGATGCACGGGACAATTTTTTGTTGTATTTTAATTATGAGAAATACATATAGAAAAATCAAAGATTATGCATTTAATATAATAAGATTGAAAAAAATATATGATATGAGAGAAATATTAATAAGTTGTTGAATTAAAGAATTAAGAACATTATAATACAAAACAAACTACACGTTTTGAAAATTTTCTGGGTATACAACACTTATCATTGAGTTACTGGAGGCACCATCGGAGTTGCTTATCAATATTTCAATCCTTCACGTCTGGTAACTCGGAAAACGGCAACGTGGAGTTGACCATGACAGAATACCGGGTTTTTTAGGAACAACCCAATATGAGATAGCGACTATCCTTGACTTTTATTGATTGTCATTGCATATAGAACGTCTTAACGAAAGCACTAAATTTTATGAAGTTCTCTTGATGCATTACCTGATTACGATGATTTATGAAAAAATTATACGGAGTATTTAATATATATATTTTATTAATATATATATATATATATATATATATATATATATATATATATACACTCCATAATATACTAAGGATCATTTAAAATATTTTTAATATGATGTTTTATTTATTTATTAATAACAAATATTTTATTTTTTTTTATAAATCAACAGAAGCAGCCAATACAATCAATTCACTCACTTTCATAAATTTCAATAAAGTCAATTTCAATGTCAAACGGGTTCTTAACCCACACAACTTTGGCCCAAACTAATTAGAAAAAACCCTGCTCCACGAAGAAATTTCACGCAGCTTCATTGTAACCTTCATCCCTCTCTCTCACACCCTATCACTCTCTTACACCCATCTACGTCCTTCATTCCTGACCCCTTCCACACACTATCCAACTTCTCTTCCGACAGAAGTCTTGGCGTTCTTCATAGTCAATTTGCTGTCGATGGAAGAAGATGAGGTCGGTGCTGATGATGAGCCACACTGTGGCTACCTTCCCTCTTCTCCCACTCAGATATGTTTGATTTTTTTTAAAAATACTCTTGTTGTTTTGGTTTATTTTCCAAACTGATTTGTTAATTCATTGATTGTTATAGATATAGTTTTGATAATAAATCTTTATGAACTGATTTCTTCTTATGTCTATCTGTCGCAGCTCATATATCGAAAAGAAGCTGGGTACATGCTGTGAGAAATCAACCGCCTGGAATGAGATAAGTTTTTCCAAACTTTTTCGTGTTTAAATTTTCAAATCCAATGGTTTTTCAAATTTATTAAGGTGTTATTATATATTAATCGTGCAGTGTATATTAACAAAAGTATATATATGACTGATAAGTTTGAGATAAGTTTTCATCAAACTTTTTTCTCTGAATACTTCAGACATCACATGTTTTTCTTTTAATCATGTGTATTAACATAATTTTTACTTACATCTGTTTCAATCTGATGTTAGGAAGTTGCTTCAATTCTAAAATGCATTTGCGATTTTTAAAAATGAGGGTGTAATTGCTCTTTCTGTAAGAATAAGAAACTGATTGCTCAATCAGTTTCTTTCCTATTGTTAATTAAAAAAACCAATCTCTAGTTAGTTTATCTTACTACTATTATGGGCTGCTTAGTAAAACTTAGATTTCTCAATTTCGGTCCTTATTGTTTTAAACACTGGATTGAAATGTTCTATTTGAGCAATAATTTCTTTTATAAAGATACATACATATTTGTGACTTTCAAAATCAGGCTATAATTGCTATTACTGGAAGAGTAAGAAACCCGCCTTAAATTAGTTTTTTTTATACGACATCAATTTCTTCCAAATTGTTTCAGAAAAAGCCAATCTCAAGTTTATCTTATTATTGTGGGTTGTGAAGAAATACTCGGATTTCTCATCAGTCATCACTTGTCCTTGTATCATTTCAGGTTTGCCTATGGTGGAAGTAAAAGAACATCAAAGAAAATAAATCCCTATAATTGGTGAAGCTTCGATTATTAACTTCATAGGTTGGTATATCTCCTTTACTTTCATTCACCTTTTTTCTAAAATAAGGTAAAGTACACTTCTAGGTATTAATAGGGATCTCTCTTCTAAAATAATCCAAGTTTATTAGTCATACCTTCTTATATACGAGTACATGAAACTTATCTATCAAACATACTTATATAAGTTTCTCTTTATGGATTTTAACATCAGAGATTTTAACATTCTGGTTTCATCCTTTCAATTCAAAGCATTATTGATCATTTGTTGGATCATTTCTTTTTAAAACTGCTTTTGATGTGCAATTTATTGAACACTTTTTTTCAAATGAAACCAATCCCTGTCTAATCTAATGACACGAAAACACAATGTTTGTTTAAGAACTTTAACATATTATTCAGTTTATTTTGAGAAATCTCCTTACTAAACCATATATATTCTAAAACTTCTTTAACTTCATTTCAAAATGATGCTTCCGAAGCAATATTAATTAACACTTTCATTTATTTAATAGAAATACTTCATTTAATCTGAAATAGGACTATGTAAATAACGGACTGAATGTTACCTGGAGTACTGCTTTGTTGCCAATGCTTGTTCTGTTACTTGAGCTTGTGATGACATTTTCTCGAATTTCCATCTCCTTATGTTTGTTCATCATCTGTAACTGCAGATTTGCTTTGTATATCAGCATAAGCATAATGAATCTTATTATTAATCAAGAAATAAAAAGAAGAATAAGTTTTAGAGTAAATTACACAAGTAGGAGCAAAACATAACAAAAGTTCAAAAATAGGAGTTGAATGTTTCGTA